CGCGTTCACTTGACCGACATTCACTTGGCCGACACATCACTTGACCGACACCACTTAACCGACAGATTGTTTGGCCGACAGGTACACTTGGCCGACAATTTATTTTGCCGACAAAAATTTGAAGTCAAAAAAAATTTTAATTTATTGTACATACAGTGATATATATGTCAGCGTTCATACTCGAATGCGTGCAATCTTGGATTGGCCTAGGCCAATGTCACATTGGACGTACACTTTTCAGACGAATCTGAGATTGCCTAGACTAATCCGAAATTGGACGTATATGCGAGTATGGATGGTGATATATATAGATAAAGAGATATAGATTTCACCACAATTTACAATTCATTCATGGCTTCAAATGAAAATAGTGACATCGCTACAAGCAGTTATGCTGAAGTGATTAAATCAACCAAAGGCAAGATCAAAATAAACATTGACGGGTTTCTGTACGTCAAAGACAAAAACCGTGATGATTTGTATTATTGGGTTTGTGAACGCAAATCACAAAAGGAAACAAAATGTACTGCAAGAGCCACTACAATTTGTATTGGAGACCAACATAAGATTCACAAGTTTTATGCTCAGCAACACAATCATGCACCACAAGCAAGCAAACCTGAAGTTTTGAAAGCCTGCATGCAAATGAAGGAATTAGGTCAAATTAGCAACGATCAACCTGCACGAATTATTAATAATATTATTGCTACAACATCGCGTGATATACAACCATGTTTACCAGGAAAAGATGCTGCAAGACAACAAATTAAAAGAGCAAGACGTGTTTGTGAAGAAGAAGTTGAACCGAAAACTTTGGATGATTTTAAATTACCAGATGCATATTGTACTACACTCAGTGGAATGCATTTTGCAAAAGATATTACCGATGGAACTCAAAGAATTTTGCTTTTCACAACAAGTGAAAATCTTAAATGGCTGCAGGAAGCGAAATTTTGGATTATGGATGGAACATTTAAAACTGTTCCAACACTTTTTCGTCAGTTATACAGCATTCACGCACCTGCAGGCGGAAGTGTTAACTTCCGAATTGTTCCACTGGTTTACGCACTGATGACTATGAAAAGCGAAGAATTATATCAAAGATTATTTCAGGAATTAAATGAAGCGGCAGAAGAACATGGGTTGGAATTAAAACCAGATTTTGTGTTAACTGATTTTGAAAAAGGTTCAATCAATGCAGTAAAATCAGAATTTTCAAGTGCTCAAAGTAAAGGCTGTCATTTTCACTTAGGGCAAGCTGTATACAGACAAGTTCAAGATGCAGGATTGACGCAAAAATACGGAACTGACGAAAAATTTAGTCTTCTTATCAGACATATTCCGGCTTTAGCTTTTTTAAGTCCTTTGGAAATTCCTGATGCTTTCGACGAAGTGAAAGCTTTACTACCTTCCGATGCTGAACCGATAGTTCAATGGTTTGAAAATAACTATGTACATGGAAGAATCAAAAGAACATTACGAAATGGCACAATTAAAAGACATAATCCATTATTTCCACCAGAAATGTGGTCTGTCTTCGATAACATGGAATTTGCATTTCCAAGAACTCAAAACAAGGTTGAAGCCTGGCATAGACGCTGGGAAATATTAATTGCTCGATCTCATGTGGGTATTTTCACTATGATTAAACAGATTCAAAAAGAACAGAACGAAGTTGAAATGGAAATTGAAAAATCAATGCGTGGAGAACCAGCTCCAAAGAAGCGCAAAGAAGATGAAAACAGAGAATTCAGAATTCAAAATGTCATTGCTGATCGCGGTAATAGATCAACTATCGATTTTCTTCGGGGCATTGCCCATAATCTTTCACTATAAATATTTGTAATCTTTATTAAAAGTGTTTGAAAACTCCAAGAAAAGAAAGAATTTTGTAAAAAAAATAAATTAGCTTTTATATCGTAATAATAAATTTTTGTCGGCAAAATAAATTGTCGGCCAAGTGTACCTGTCGGCCAAACAATCTGTCGGTTAAGTGGTGTCGGTCAAGTGATGTGTCGGNCTCCTTCTCCCTTCTAATATGTCATTTGAATTTAAGCGGCTTCAGTTTCCCGTACGTCTTGCCTTCGCGGTGTCTATCAATAAGTCCCAAGGGCAATCACCAAATGTGGCTGTTGCCAATTTAGGAACTCCTTGCTTTTCTCATGGTCAACTTTACGTGACATGTTCAAGAGTGGGAACTGGGAAGAATTTATATGCTTTTGCTCCTGATGGAAAGACGAAAAACGCTGTGTACCAAACAGCTTTACAATAAAGAATTCCATTTCACTATTTTTTTAATTGACAGAAGCTCATAAATAAAAAATATGGAAAAGAAAAAAAGATATCTGTAATAGGTTCCAAATATCAAATACTAAGATCCAAAAGGAAAAGATCTGAGCGAGTTTTAGGATATAATAGATTAATTACATATATAAGACGTTAAGGACATTGTGTTTTCATGTGCCAAGTTTATACTATTATATTATTTGAATCACCATCGGGTACCTCCGCTAGTATATACATATATTCATTTAAATAGTTAACTAAAAAACGACATTGTACAGAGATACTAGAAAATGTGTTCTTTATTTTATAAGAATGCGAAATACTTTCTTGGAGTGTTGATATTTCTCATGAATTGGTGCTGGAATTACTCGTTATTAATGACAGTTATTTCATAAAAATATTTTTCTTTTGAATTCTCTATAAGTTGAACAGGATTATTTGATTGGAATAAAACTATCCAATTGGAAAAATAAACTAGTATTGTTTCAGAACAAGATTTGCAGGAATTAATTTAACGATTACTTGATAAAACTATGAAATGTTTTCATGGTGAAAGAAATCCATAATAGAAAATATTCTAAACAAATATGTACTAAACGATTGGCACAACTTTAGTATTGTATATATCACAACTTAAACTTGTTATGTATACGTACTTTATCAAGACTGGCAATAATAAAGCCTATAGTTTCGCTTGAATAAGTATGTGTAGAGACATATGCATAAGCGACTAATCGATATACGTATATCACGGCAAACATATCTTCTGCTATTTCATATGGGTATATATGCATTTTGAAAACAAAAATCCATTTTTTAAAGTAAATAACAGCTTGATAAATCATAACACAATGTAATGTTTTAAATGTTTACTACATCATTTCATAATAAGACTTTGTAAACAAAGACTCAGCCGGACATAACAACAATAGAATACTAGCATGGTTAAATTATCAAGAGTTACCTTCTGGATCCAAAGAATCTATAATTATAATATCGAATTCAGTTTTTATTATGTTTTAAATATTAAAATTCATCATCAACATGGATTGTCACTTTTGGTGAAAAAATATCTCTGAACATTTCGAGAAAATATTTCGCGCTGGAACCAGTTACATTCTATAAATCTTTATCAGAGACATTTTATCTTCGAAACTACATTTATGACTACTTGATCAATTTTCCGAAGAATACAACCATCACCTCTACCAATTATTAAAACCGGAAGATAAATCAAAAAGATAATATTGAATGGGAAGCCAAATATTGTGCTACGAACTTGTTTTGGATTTGGATGACCAAACAAAGGAAGAAATGCAAACATTTCCTGATAGATAAACTCATCTTGTTCCATACATTGAATTCGATTATTTAAGACAATTATATTGCCACGAACTGTACTAAAAAGACTTGGATGAAAAATATTAGGATACAGATAAAATAGCGCACATTGAAGCATTGTTTCTTTTGATTAATCACAACGAACACCAAAGCTTACCTACCTGTACGCTTACAGATGCTTGGAGGGAGAAAAGTAACACGTGATAAATGAAGCAGTTATCAGCACAAAACGAAATATTAGGCTAGTCAACTGTGACCTAATAACTTTTTTTCTATTTTTCCGTGATTCATATATCAACGAATTATTCACTTTATTTTGAAAAAAACCTTGCATATAGTTTTTCTTTGTGATTAACTTACAATCATATCATTATTCTGATATTTTTATTCACTCAGCTGAACAGGGTGTCATATGAAAAATCAAAGATTCGTGGGTATTGACTTGCACATGTTAACCCATGTGTTCCTATACATGAATGAGAATTTGGACTAAGTATTTTAAATAATTCTCTTTCATGCTGATTACTTGACCAATAGTTATTAATTTATTCAAAATAGTGGACTAATTAATATTTAAAATGAACAATAGTATTTATATCAGTTGATTTTTGTCTTAGTCCTTATTACATATTTGAAAATCAATGGTTTTTGTATCGGTTTTGTGTCATGTTTGAAAAATGTGTCTGTTTGGTTATTAAGGATTAATAGCTCGATGATACTCGTGATGATTTGAAATGACAACGTAATTTATATGCCATTCCAACTAAAAATGGAACTATATATTTAAGTACTACTGAAAGTCCACTAAATACATTTAAGAACATCGTCAGTGCGTAAACAAGATCTACCTGCTGTTACTTCACGTAACTGCAGGATATTGGTGCACACGCAGTGTAATATTGCTCATAAGACGTTTCATTTGACCAAAAGTCAATGAATGCTCGATTGGCGATAGTTTCAATTTTATCATTCATGGCAAAATTTGAAACCGATAAGGAAAACTGTAATGGCAAAATATCAATTAAGCATGAACCCGGGTCTTAATTTATAGATCCAAGACAAGTAGCATTGATAAGATCTATAACGCAAGACTTTGAGAAGAAACAAGAAAGAGACGAATGTAAAATTGATTCAAGTAAGAAGCAGCCTATGAAAATATCGCTAATAGTATAGAATTTGTGGAGACTTTCATCGTAGAAACCTGCTGGTTTCATGCATTTACTTGAAGTAGCACATGAACAATTTCCATTATTGTACGTTTTCGGGAGGATAATAATGCGACCATTAGTAGCTGTTCCTCCAAATTTCATTTCTACGTTAGTTCCCAAAAATGAAATTAAACCGTTGCCTTGGGAAAAATCACGAAATACTTGTACTAGATGGACCCATTCACTTGATATTGATTGTTGTAACGATTTAAATTTAGAGTCCATCTTTTTAAAAAATAGAATATCAGGCATGACTTCAAAAGACAAAAAGAATTGCGAGTAATATTGTTCAATAGAGTTCATCACTGTTAAGTGTGCTTGAGCACAAACCACCTTAATGTAATTAAAAAACATTACACCCCATTTTCGAAAATCGATACTCTGAAACCGCCCTGGATAAAATATGCTAAAGGTCTCGTAAGCTTCAAACCAACTCTGCAGTATATCGCTTGAGCAAATGGGGTGAAATGTGACGTCGAGAGAAATAGTAAATTCTTTGTATGGTATGAATATGTTTGAACAAGGGCATTGTAGAGCATTAGATTGAGTATTTTGTAGATTTGTATAAGTTGATAGAGAAGGAGTTGGAACTATTATAGTCGATAATCGTTCAACTAGTCCAACATAAACGAAGAAAAGAATGGTGAAACCAACCAAGATAATGAGATAGAGTCGTGTCGATACAATTTCTTGTCTCTGAACAGAATTCGCGTTAGAGTCTGTTTCGCAGAGATTGAATGTAGCTATATATTCTCGAATTCGACTGATGTACGAAACCGTTTGGTCTAAAATTGAAGACGGCTAAAAGTGGGTCTCATTGTATGAATATCTTCACAGAATTCTTAGAAGACATTCAACAATTCACATGATATTTTCTATATTTCCACTAAATTTCAACTAAGTTAAATGATTCGTTNAGCTAGAATAGAGTGCTACACAATGAGATGTTGGCAGACTCAAATGGTCTTTCCTTTCTCGAACTATGGGTTTCACAAGGGACACGACTACTACTTATTATAACTCCGTTCTAACTCGATCAATTATGACGGGGGTTGTGCCTACGATCAGCATTCATTATAGGGTATATACATACAAAATTTCAGCTGTCTAGCTCTTATTATGAGTGAAGTTCAGGGGGTTCGGGACTTTTGGCCAGCACTGTACTTATTGTACACGTGCTTACAAAGATTTGTTTTTTTATTTATGTATAATTTCTCCATATTATTAACTACGTCTTTCTTTGATAATCTTATTTATTTTTCATATTCAATGATCAAAGTAACTGTATGTACTTTTCTTATAGATATAGAATAGTATATTCTGATCAGTAAATTATGGAACATTTAACTACACAACAAAAAGTTGATTTTGCTAAACAAGAATTTTCCATGCTGGTTGCTGATAGAAACACTAATCGAAATCAATCAGTTGGTTATGATGTTGATCCAGTTCGAGAAGTTAATGATACAATTACTCGACGACAAGCAAGTATATAGTTATAATCGTAAAAGTTCATAAATATTAATTAATTGTGTTTTAGCCTTATTAATCAACAAAGTTGGTTTCAATGTATCAAGTGCTGAATTATCAGATTTAATTCATGATGAAGATTTACATGGTAAGCAATTTATCGAAACATTTGTCCAGAAAAAGTTATTATTCTTGTAGGTGATGATAAAATTGATATTGATGGTATAATAAGGATTATCAATTTTCTGTCCAACAGAGAAAATGTTCCGGTTGTATTCGATGCACCTGTAATGTATTTTTACATTTTTTTTTCGTCCGCTACGCGCCAAAATACATAATGATTCGTTCTTTTCTTACCCTTCGTTCAGCAAATTTCATTTTTTTTTGTGAGCAAATAGGGGAACGTGAACAAAAATATTAATGTTGATCGGTGAGGTCAGTCGAGAATGACATATATATATATATATATATATATATATATATATAACATACATAAGATAATTCAACGTAATTGTCTTTATTCCAACATGGCAGAAAAAGTATGTCACAGAAAAAGTTTTTATACAGTGATGTGCGACAATTGATATGTTTCATCCACTGAAGTCAGAATTTGAATCGTTCTTCTTCGTCTTTAGATGTAATTTAATCCAACACAAAATGAAAAATATTTTAGTTTCCGTTGAAGATATCATCTAGAATAACAACACTGAACAAATGAGAGTACTATCGTTAGGAGGACTGACTAGTTTTGTGATGATATATTACTGTCGATGATCTCTTCAGATCTTATGAATTTTCACCAGATCATATTAACATGTACTAATGTCGGAAAATGTCTCTGGAAGTCTTTGCATTTGTTTTCCATCAAAGCTTTATTCGAAAACTAACCTTAGACAGACGAATTTTAATGATTGAATAGCCTTTCTTGAAATATCCCACATTAGTCTAACTGAAATAAAACAATAAAAAATGTCATTTTTTGAATGTTTTTCTTACTTTAGGATGAACAAGAAATCAATCGACGCAACTATCAACTACTCAAAAAGATAAAAAAATTAACAAAGAATGGTACCGCAATCAATGATCAGATCTATGAAACGTTATGTGCACAAATGGGTGTTTCAGTTGAAGATGGTGATGATGATCATGATGATGATGATGGCAGTTAAGAAACGATGGAAAGCTATTTAACCATGACGCATGTGTAACTGTTTCACTTTTTTTTTTGTTTCTTTTTTCTCTTTTTCAAAGGGCATTAACATATATTTGTTAAAAGAAATAAAAGATTGTTCTCAATTTTCTTTCTTGTCTCTTGTTTTCTTTCTGTGATAAAGTCTTCTTTACTTAGTAAACGGAAGCATTCTATTGCTCCATATTATCTAATTGCTACAAATCTTTAAAATTAGATCACATATTAATCCACAAAAATAATTATGAATCACTAATAGATAATTGAATACCAATAACGCAATCAAACTTACTCTGAAACAGATACAATAGAGTCATTGAGTTTGATATAGCATGCAAATCATATAGAAAAATAGAAATTTAAACAGAATATCTAACTCGATACTCATTTCCTATTCTACTCAAAATTAACATGAATCAAAAACCCATCGAACTATTGATCGAGAGTTCAATTGATTGTAAATCGTTATTAGAAATTGCATGTTAGCTTCAATTTCTCATTGTGAGAAATAGAAAACAAAACGGATGGAAATAAATGAATTATTTTTGATAAAATCAGTTATTCAGTTATAAATGAAAAAAGAAAATTCTGAATATTCTTTCGGCAACTTTAATATTTCGAATTTTAATATTTCGATTAAAAAATGTAGACACAAGTGAAATAAAATGATGAATCAAATGTTTTCACAAGTAAAGTTTTATTGATTTTAACAGAAAAATTGCTTTTGACATTATTCCTTTTTTTCGTTAAATCAGACGAAAAAATGGTTGAAAAACAAACTTGAATTGTAATGAGCTTTTGAATCAATGAAAACAAATGATATTAGTAAGAAATAATTGTCTTTCATTTCAATTATATATTAAGTAAAGACAAAACTGACTATCTTTCTATAGAAATATGTTGCATAAATTTAATCCTAAATTAACTTATGCTTTAAAATAATCGAATTATTCAAGAACAATTATATTCAACGTAAAATAAAATGATGCAATAGATTTATATTGTAGCTCTTCGTTATAATTAATTGCAAAAAAAATATGTTTTAATGCGTCTCTCATCGATAAAAGTCTCAATAAAAATGGAAATTCAATCAGATGGATTTAAATCTAAAATAATGAAATGAATTTGTCTATTCAAACGATAATATAAATATATTTCGTTGAAGTAATCAGTAAAATATCTCATAGTCATCGGAAATTTTTAGTTTACGGTACAAATATTGCCAGGATATATGGAAAAAGAACGAAACGTCATATCATAATGAGACAAATCAATGATTGTGAATACAATCTCACATGGAAATGATTGATAACTTAGATTTGACGTAATCATTATTGAGTGCATTTCAATTTACTGCAAATATGAGTTTTCCTATCATTGAAAAATCGAACAAATTTTGATGAGATGAATTTCACAGTTGAAAACAATGTGAGTTCAGAATATGATAATATTTTTACTATAATAAGACGAATAAATTTCATTGATGAATCACAATCAAAGGTTATTGTGAAATGAAATATGTATAGAGAAGACAAATTTCCAATATTATCTTTGAACAAATGATTCTTTTCGAATGATAAAATTCATTATAAAATTAATTAATGTTTTTTGATTAAAAAGAAAATCAAAAAATAAATAAATAAATTGCATCTTTACACTAAATATAGACATCGATTTTATTAACAACAATAAACTATTCGAATTAAAATAAATTTCATAGAAAAACAAGTAAGATTTATCATTGTAGAATGTTTCACAAACAAATATCTCATTGAATAATTAACAAAATTTATTTGTTTGGATTGAAATTATCATTATTGGGTATATCCATGGGATATCGCCAGCCAATACAGTGACTACGTCCAAATTCGATGAAACTTTCAGGATTTGTAGAGCTTTTTTCGCTGATCATTTTGGTAATAAATTTGTTAGGGTTTGACTTTACTTTCATGTAGATACGGGTCAGATACTACTTTTAGGTTTTTATGATTTTATGAATTTTTTGCAATAAATTGAATTTTTCGTTTATCGAAAATACTGTGAAATTCAATAATTATTTGTTCAAATTTTAAAACCAATTACAGATTTTGATTCCTCGTGAAAAACTGCATCAGAATCTTGAAAAATTAGAAACATTTTCAAACACTTTCGTAGAACTTAATTGTTCACAATGGAATCCACTGCAGAGAAAAAGTATTTGAAAAAATCAATAATAAAGTTGGAATGAACGGAGATGGTGGTATTACCAGTTCGATAGAGCGAAACTTGCTCTACAAGATGCACTAGTTTGTTTTTCCCACACCTTCGATTTATCAGGGAACGACTGTCAAAACTATTTTAGACTACAATTTTTCAACAAGTTTTAATGAATAAGTTAATAAGATTTGATCATTTATTCTCATAGTCATCTTGAAATTTCACTACAACTTTCAGAACTTGTAGATCTTGTTGTGCTGATCATTTTCATGGTAAATTATTCAATATTTGACACTATTTTCATTAACATTTAGCTCAAACAATGTAAATATATTTTTTGTTATGATAATTATTGTGCATGGAAAATGGAGTTTTCTTAAACTAAAAATTATATCGTAGCATATGAGTAGACTAAAAATCTGGTAACATATTTATGTCGAAGGCAAAAAGCTATACCAGAGTTTGTATGATATATAGCACTAACAAATACTGATATAGTATCTACTTGGCTGTACGTGATGCATAACAAGGGAATGATGGGCCGTAAAAAGGATTTACATTTAATTGAGAAATTTACATAATAGAAAATAAGAACATAATCATTTTGATAGAGCAGAATTTGCTCTCCAAGGTGAATTAACTGGTTTTTTTCCACACTATTGATTTCAGAAGAAACAATTGTTAAGAATTTTTACGTGCATGAGTTTATAACCTGCAAGTGAATGTATGCTGAGATTCGTTCGCTAGAACGTCTGCAAAAAGAAATGTATCATTTGTATGAAGATTAGCATTAAAGATTTGCTAAGTTAGTTTTATGGTGGTTACATAAAAACAAGAGTATTAAGAAAGAGAAAGAGATCATTTTTCATCCGAGATATTATGGCTAACAATTGATTGAGCAATAGGTGGAATATGAAATGTGTGAATAGTTATTCTTTTGGACTGTGAAATGCGACTGCAGGAGATATTTTCATGGTTCGGCATCGAATTAATGCGTACCACGAATGCCATAAATCGAAGCCACAGAAAATCAATTCTGGGAGGTGATGGTGCACTAATAAGGTGGTACTTTTAGCTGAAAGTTACGCTCATCGTTGCATCCGAAGGTCTTTCAGTTCGCTACTAATACGATGAGCCGACAGCCAATGAGGGTGTGGGTGTGGGTGTGAGCTTTCACTTCGCACTCAGTCACGCCCACACCCCACCCACACCCACACCCACACCCGAAGAACACAACCATCACGTCTACCAATTATTACAACCTAAAGATAAATCAGAAAGATAAGATTGAATGAGAAGCGAAATATTGTGCTACGAACTTGTTTTGGATTTGGATGACCAAACAAAAGAAGAAATGCAAACATTTCCTGATAGATAAATTCATGTTGTTCCATACATTGAATTCGATTATTTAAGACAAGTATATTGCCACGAACTGTACTAAAAGGAGTTGGATGTAAAATGTTAGGATACGGATAAAATAGCGTACATTGAAGCGTTGTTTATTTTGATTAATCACGACTGACATCAGAGTTTACCTTCCTGTACACTTACATGTGCTTGGAGAGAGAAAAGTCACACGTGGTAAATGAAGCAGTTATCAGCACAAAACGAAATATCAGACCAGTCAACTGTGACCTAATAACCTTTTTTCTATTTTTCCGTGGTTCATATATCAACGAATTATTCACTTTATTTTGAAAAGACTTTGCATATAGTTTTTCTTTGTTATTAACTTACAATCATATCATTATACTGATATTTTTATTCACTCAACTGAACTGAGTGTCATATGAAAAATCAAAGATTCGTGGGTATTGACTTGCACATGTTAAGTCATGTGTTCCTATGTATAGATGAGAATTTGGACTAAGTATTTTAAATAACTTTCTTTCATACTGATTACTTGACCAATAGTTATTAATTTATTCAAAATAGTGAAGTAAATAGTATTTAAAATTAACAATAGTATTAATTTGAATTGATTTTTAAATATTTGAAAATCAATAGTTTTTGTGTCGGTACTGTATCATGTTTGAAAAATGTGTCTGTTTGGGTACTACGGATTAATAACTCGATGAGACTCGTGATGATTTGAAACGAGAACGTAATTTATATGCCAGTCCAACTAAAAGTGGAACTATATATTTAATAACTACTGAAAGTCCACTAAATAAATTTAAGAACATTGTCAGTGCGTAAACAAGATTGAAATGTTGTTGCTTAACGTAACTGCAGGATATTGGTGCACACGCAGTGTAATATTGCTCATAGGACGTTTCATTTGACCAAAAGTCGATGAATGCTCGATTGACGATAGTTTCAATTTTATCATTAATGGCAAAATTTGAAACCGATGAGGAAAACTGCAATGGATAAATATTGCTTAAATATGAACCCGGATCTGCATTTAAATAATCAAGATTAGTAGCACTCATAAGTTCTAGAATGCAAGAATCTGAGAAGAAACAAGAAAGAGACGAATGGAAAATTGATTCAAGTAAAAAGCAGCCTATGAAAATATCGCTAATAGTATATAATTTGTGAAGATCCTGAGTGTAGAGACCTGCTGGCTCCATGCATTTACTTGAAGTAGCACATGAACAAGTTCCATTATTGTACGTTTTCGGGAGGATAAGAACTTGACCATCAGTAGCTGCTTCTCTAAACCTCATTTCTACGTTGGTTCCCAAAGTTGAAATTAAACCGTTACCTTGAGAAAAATCACGAAACACTTGTACTAGATGGATCCATTCACTCGATATTGATTGTTGTAATGATCTAAGCTCAGAGTCAGTATCTTTGAAAAATAGAATATCAGGCATGACTTCAACAGAGAAAAATGAACGGGAGTAATATTGTTCAATGGAATTAATCACTGTTAAGTGTGCTTGAGCACAAAGTACATTAAGGAAATTAAAAAGTACTACGCCCCAGTTTCGAAAATCAATAGATTGAAACTGCCATAAAGATAATGTGTTTAAATCCTCGTAAACTCCAAGCCAACTCTGCAGTATATCGCTTGCGCAAACAGGGTGAAATGTGACGTCGAGAGAAATAGTAAATTCTTTGTATGGTATGGATATGTTTGAACAAGGGCATTGTAGAACATCATAGTGAGTATTTTGTAGATTTGTATACGTAGACAGAAGGAGTTGAAATTAATATGGTCGATGATCGTTCCACGAGTCCAACGTAGAAGAAGAAAAGAATCGTGAAGCCAACCAACAAAATGAGATAGATCCGTGTCGACATTATTTCTTGTCTCTGAACAGAATTTAAGTTAGAGTCTGTTTCAAAGAGATTGAATGTAACTATATATTCTCGAATTCGACTGATGTACGAAGCCGTTTGGTCTAAAATTGAAGATGGCTAAAAGTGAGTCTCATTGTATGAATATCTTCATAGAATTCTTAGAAGATATTCAACAATTCCCATGATATTTTCTATGTTTCCACTAAAGGACAGGGGCGCATAAGAAGCCGATTTGGCCCATAGGATATTTTCAGTCACTTTATTGCCTATCCTATTCAGAAAAATGTGGTGATACTTTTGGTAACAATTTCAAGTCAAGCTGTAAGGATTATAAGCCAATTTGAGGGAGAATGCCTGCAAAAAAGTATTGAAGTTTCATTGGGCTCATAGTTGTCTAGTATTAGCTCAAAATATACGACTTTTAGGCAATGTTTCAAGCTCAACCCATATTGGTTAGAAAGAGCGTTTAATACTGCATCGTTTCATATAAAACCTAATATTCTTTCATTAAAAATTTAATCATGAAAAATACTGTCCTTTCACAGGGGTATGCTTCGGTACCTCACATCCGAACAATAATTAGAACTGTTTGACATGCTTTTACGTGTAAGCCAAGCTTTTTTATATGCCATTTGATAGAGTGAAGAAAGAGCTACAAAATGATGCATAATTGATTTGACTGCAATATGGGCCACTATATCGAAAGTGTGTATGAATTGTTTGGGAGCACAAAAAGTGCACTTTTCTGCTCATTATTGAGCGAATTTGATAAGAATAATTCAGCTTTTGATAGAAGAGAATGGTATATTTGAAATCAGCATAAAAAACTGAGTCGATCCATATAGTTTTGAAAAGTTTCTGAGTACCTTTATTTTCGTCCAAAAATTTAGCTGGGGTCCCCCTCAGGGTTAGGTCAAAGAATGAAATCGATTGAAACGCCATTCGGACTGTGAAAAACACGTTCTGCAGTTGTTAAAAGTTAAGAAAATTGAAAAACACAAATGACTAATAAATAAAAACACTGTTTTAATGGATTTCATTTTTTGACCTAATCCTGAGGTGGACCCCAGCTGAATTTTTCGACGAAAATAAAAGTACTCAGAAAATTTTCAAAGCTATATGCATCGACTCAGTTTTTTATGCTGATTTCAAATATACCATTTTCGTCTACCAAAAGTCGAATTACTCTTATCAAATTCGCTCAATAATGAGCAAAAAAGTGTACTTTTTGTGCTCCCAAACAATTCATACACACTTTCAATATAGCGGCCCATATTGCAATCAAATCAATTATGCATCATTTTGTAGCTCTTTCTTCGCTCTATCGAATGGTATTTAAGAAAGCTTGGCTTACACGTAAAAATATGTCAAACAGTTCTAATTATTGTTCGGATGTGAGGTACCGAAGCATACCCCTGTGAAAAGACAGTATTTTCCATGATTAAATTTTTAATGAAAGAATAGTAGTTCTTATATGAAACGATGCAGAATTAAATGCTCTTTCTGACCAATATAGATTGAGTTTGAAACATTGCCTAAAAGTTGTATATTTTGAGCTAATACTGGACAACTTAGAGCCCAATGAAACTTCAATACTTTTTTGCAGGCATTCTCCCTCAAAGTGGCTTATAATCCTTATAGCTTCACTTGAATTTATTACCAAAAGAATCGCCACATTTTTCTGCATAGGATGAGCAATGAAGTGACTGAAAATATTATATGGGCCAAATCGGCTTCTTATGCGCCCCTGTCCTTTATCGAATAAAAACGCATCGTCACGGTCTTGTTCTGTCATTTTCCAAAATGATTTCTTTTAGGAACATGTAAAGTAACGTCATTATTTACTTCTAACTCAAATGAATGAGGTTAATGCTCGCCAAGTGCACTCTACTCGGACTAAGCTTCCAGACTCTTAGCTGTTGAAATGTATTCAACATAGACTAGGCAATCACCAGCTACAACAATTTAGCAGGAATAATAACCAAAGAGGTCCATTCAATACCTATTGTTTACTTCAAAAGATATCTCAAGAGTGAGCTAAAGGAATGAAACTTCAAATGTTATATCACAACAATTACCTCGAATATATGGTGCAGAGCGACGGATGGAATGTCGTTCTCCCTGAATATATATAGCGGAGTGACAGAACTTTTTAACTGCCCTTAGTAAATAGCGAGGTAATTCATATCGCAAGTCTGTTGGACACTTATTGCGCTATGCGAGTTCTAGTTGCGAAGAACAAGCTTGCATGGTTTAACTTGATGTCATACTAGATTAAAGCGTATAACATGATATTCGTTCATAGCTCATTTCTTGGTTTTCAATGTCTATTTCTATACAAGTAATAGTTAATAATACTGCTAAGAATAGATCGCTGTACAAGTTTCGTAATCTACTTGATTATTGTTTATTTACAAAAAAGACTGCCGAGTTTTAGGAAAAGCATCATAGTTACTTTGAAACTACTTAGGGTGTACCAAAAGTTCTGATCACGACGTTACATAGCCATATAGTAAGCTTAAAAAAAACTTTCTTTCTACATAGTCTAATAGAGAAAAGAGTGCTCTATTTTGCTATGCTATTTGATCATACTTCAAATAATAATATGATAATAAATTTTTGATAACACTTTTTTTTTGTTATCATTTGTGCTCATAGTACTAGATCACAAAGGATGAGGCAAGTTAATTTTCAATCCTCCAATGCGTTGTATTTACAATTAAAATATACCATAAGNATTCATCTGAAGGAATAACTTCATTGACTACGGATAAAACAATTCCTGTCAATGAACACACGAGTGAAAAGAAAAATGTCGAAGAAATTAAGTCAAAAGAAAATGAAGAACATGTTGATAGTAAGATTTCATCTATACCATTATGATTTCATTTTATATAAAAAGATATTCATTTAACATTTTGTCTTTCAGTTTTCAAGAGTGAAGAATTATTATCATTGAAAAATTCAATCCATATTTAAGCTTTTCGTTATGGATCTGTATACGTACATGCTCAGCTATATGTCAAGTTACTTAGTACATTTTTCGTACTGTCTCACGTCCGGCGTTTTTCTTAATATTCTTTTTTTTTAGTCTATCCTATAGAAATTAAACTTCGTGATGTAACAAAGCCTTGCCTGTTCTAAGACGAAAAGTATATACGCCAAAAATCTGCTTACTTTGATTTGGATGTTATATTGCAGATCGCTACAGAATATAATAGAGCTAAAGCATCATTTAGGATTTTATCGCTTAGTTAAGTTACAGAAGTACTATTACACTAATAAAATCATAATGTCATTGTGAAGTACCAATATAAATGAGCATGATCTACTTCAAGCATTTTTGTTGGTAGAAAATATCTCCTAATCAAAGAGTTATTCAATAGTTGATTTATTTTAATAGAATTTATTTATAGTAAAGTTTCATATTTATTTTGCTAAATTTCTAATATAATTTGTCAAAATATGTATCAATTTTGAATTGAATTTATAGTAGTATAATTTTTGTTTCTTTCATGAATATTTGTTAGTTTGATATGATTATTCTTTCATCTAGAAAAACATCAGTTGGAATCAAATGAAAATAGCGAATCGACTAAGCATGAAATAATCCCGATCACTATAGGAAATTTCATGTCACCAGCACGCATAAACTTTGAACAAATTCGTATCTCAACATTTACTAATGTGACTCTATCTTCTGAAACATTAGCTAATTCTTCAATTTCTACAAATGTTACATCAAGTAACAATGAAAATGATATTATTATCGGTCGTCGTGGCGAAGAATTTGTTTATAAATATCTTCAATGGAAATATCCTAACAGAGAAATTCAGTGGATTAACAAAGATGGTGAATCTGGTCAACCATTTGATATTCGAATGATTCTCAAAGGAAAATAAAATAAAATTGATTTAATTGAAGTTAAAACAACTCGTTTATCAACACAAAATACATTTCCAATATCAATGAGAGAAGTTGAATGCTTAATATCAAATCAAAATAATTATCATATTTATCGAGTTTATTATTCCAATGATGAAATATCTTCAACAATAACTATTCTTAGTCAAATTAAATATTATTTAGAACAAAAACATCTTTCACTTTCCATGACAATTCCATCATAAAACTCAATCAATAACCAAACTGCTATATTCTTGAATTTTAAAACAAATATTGATTTTATTAAACTACAGATCAATAAAATTTTTTTTCATCAATGAGAGATGAGGTGTAGAGGGTGGGTGTGGGGTGGTTGTGCCTTTTGGCAGTCTCGAAGTCTACATCCACACCTATGGATGCAACGGTTACCAGTTCAAACCATTGTTAAGAAAAACAGGATTTTATGAGAAAATGACGATCTTTGATAAGGATTAACAAAAGTGAATCAAGGTCGGAAAATCCGAATTTGGAGTCAGCTTTTGAAAATTTTGAGTTTTAGTTTTCACATGTAATGTTTTTCAGGAATAAATTTTTCGAGAAAAAAAGACAATTTTCAAGGAGCAGTTTAGTCTTGAGAAGTGAAAATTTAAACATTCAAGGACCTGATTCAAGATTTTGATTCTTGGACTCAATCTATTTTCTTCAACCTTTACAAAATATCATGACTTTTCTACAAAATCCTTTTCTTTGCCGAAAAATTTATTTCAATATTTTCAAAAACTGACTTCATCAGATTCGGATTCTCCAATCTCGATTTACTTTCGTCAAACTTTATGAAGTATCGTTATTTTCTTATAAAATGCTATTTTTCTTGACAATAGTTTGAACCGGTAACCATACCTACGGTTATCGTAACTGAACCGGTGAATGATTGCCACCATTGCATCCCTACCCACACTCACCTACATACATTTCTAAATCCTATAAAAATGGTTTGGATGCGTTGACAGTAGTTTAGTCTTGAAACGGGAATCGTGAAATAGGAAACTAAGATGTGTTTTGTGATTATTTTTATTTAGGGCTGTTTTGTGTACAAAGAGTCCCCCGTCCTTTCAGCAATCGAATAATTATTTATTAAATAATACATCGATTGATCATCAGTATACTGATTCTGATACTTGATGGGTGTGGGTGTGCGTGTAAATACTCAGTTACATTTACACTTACACCCACATCGACACCCACACCCCAATCCACACACACACACACCCACACCCCAATCCACACACACACCCACCCACACCCCAATCCACACCTACACGCCTCACCCAAATCCACACCGACAGCCACAGCCACACCCACACCCTAGTTTTATGTAACTTGGACTAAGTATTTTAAATAACTTTCTTTCATACTGATTACTTGGTCAATAGTTATTAATTTATTCAAAATGGTGGAGTGAATATTTTTTAAAATGAACAATATTTTTAATATCAGTTAATTTTTGTTTTAATCTTTATTACATATTTGAAAATCAATGGTTTTTGTATCGGTTTTGTGTCATGTTTGAAAAATGTGTCTGTTTGGTTATTAAGGATTAATAGCTCGGTGATACCCGTGATGATTTGAAACGAGAACGTAATTTAGATGCCATTCCAACTAAAAGTGGAACTATATATTTAAGTACCACTGAAAGTCCACTAAATACATTTAACAACATCGTCAGTGCGTAAACAAGATTCACATGCTGTTGTTTCACGTAACTGCAGGATATTGGTGCACACGCAGTGTAATATTGCTCATAAGACGTATCATTTGACCAAAAGTCAATGAATGCTCGATTGACGATAGTTTCAATTTGATCATTAATGGCAAAATTTGAAACCGACGAGGAAAATTGTAATGGCAAAATATCAATTGAGCATGAATTCGGGTCTGGATGTCCAGATCCAAGACAAGTAGCATTGATAAGATCTGTAGTGCAAGAATCTGAGAATAAACAAGAAAGAGACGAATGTAAAATTGATTCAAGTAAGAAGCAGCCTATGAAAATATCGCTAATAGTATAGAATTTGTGGAAACTTGCATCGTAGTAACCTGCTGGTTCCATGCATTTACTTGAAGTAGCACATGAACAAGTTCCATTTTTGTACGTTTTCGGGAGGATAATAATGTGACCATTAGTATCTGTTCCTCCAAATTTCATTTCTACGTTAGTTCCTAAAGATGAAATTAAACCGTTGCCTTGGGAAAAATCACGAAATACTTGTACTAGATGGACCCATTCACTTGATATTGATTGCTGTAACGATTTAAATTTAGAGTCCATCTTTTTAAAAAATAGAACATCAGGTATTACTTCAAAAGACAAAAATAATTGCGAGTAATATTGTTCAATAGAATTCATCACTGTTAAGTTTGCTTGAGCACAAACCACCTTGAGGTAATTGAAAAATGTTACACCCCATTTTCGAAAATCGATACTTTCAAACTGCCGTGGATAAAATTGGTTAAAGACCTGGTAAACTTCAAACCAACTCTGCAGTATATCGCTTGTGCAAATGGGGTGAAATGTGACGTCGAGAGAAGTAGTAAATTCTTTGTATGTTATGAATATGTTTGAACAAGGGCATTGTAGAGCATTAGATTGAGTATTTTGTAGATTTGTATAAGTTGATAGAGAAGGAGTTGGAACTATTATAGTCGATAATCGTTCAACTAGTCCAATGTAGAAGAAGAAAAGAATCGTGAAACCGGCCAAGATAATGAGATAGAGTCGTGTCAATAAAATTTCTTGTCTCTGAACAGAATTCGCGTTAGAGTCTGTTTCGAAGAGATTGAATGTAGCTATATATTCTCGAATTCGACTGATGTACGAAACCGTTTGGTCTAAAATTGAAGACAAGTAAAAGTGAGTCTCATTGTATGAATATCTTCATAGAATTCTTAGAAGACATTCAACAACTCGCATGATATTTTTTATATTTCTACTAAATTTCAACTAAGTAAAATGATTCGTTTATCGACCAAGATCAATTTCATATTTTTATTCATGAAGAAGATATTTAAAGTAACTGATAATTAATATCGAAGAAGTGTTGCAGTTTTTCAAAAAAAAATTTATTGCATTTAACCAGAAAAATGCGATTCATTTAGAGTTATTGCCACATATGAACCATTGTATATGTACTATTTTACTTTTTCTTTCATAACTTTAAGTTTTGGTATTCTACCATGCTTCATGTGATATTTTTAGTGAGAACTTACATGACATTCTAGTAATATAAGATATATCTAAGAATGATTTTCGATACACCGGAAGGACCTCAATTTTTACCGTGTGGAGCGTTACTCATTTAGCAAAATGTTCTCGCATCTTTGTCAGCATCATAATGAAGTCAGAACTTTCACTTGTTTTTGTTATTTCTTCTACAACATCAATAGCTTTGTCTAATTTCTGCTCTGTTCATAGAATTTTTTTTTGGAAATCTAGAGAAACAACCGCGACTGCTTCACAAAGGTAATAGTTCTTTTGAATGAAATATTCTTTTTCAGACAGTGTTGTAACTACTACCGGATTTTTCTGTAGAAACGGAGACTCTAAAGTCGGTGAATAAACAACTTATGTTTTTTTGTAAGTTTTGAAACAATCATGAGGATTATAATATTACTAATCACTTCAAATGTATAACAAATTTATGCGCTATCTTCAAAAACTAAATATATTCAGTTACGTACTGTTACAGTGAGTGTTTTGAATTATGGATGTTGATTGATTAGTAGAAAGATCTTGTGATCGAAATCGTTTCCAAGCAATAAATATTAAGTGAACTAGCATTGGCAAAATCAATCGAAGAAATTTACTTAAAACTGCATACATAGCTGCAATACTGGTCATTAAAAATATCAAGTCGAATCGTTGTTGAATATCATAGGTACAAAACAAAGGAGAGCATTTATTGTAATATTGATTGTAAGAAACGTTGACTGTTTGATTTTCAAGTAGAAGAGCATTCATCAATGCTTCCATTGTATCATTGATCATAAATTTACTTGAAATATGTATATCAAGGGGATTAATACTGATAAGATTGTCAACAGTCATGGCAACATAGTAATTGTACACGGTGTCAAAACAAGAATAATCGAACCAACACTCCAATGATGCTTTGAGTACTGTTTCAGTCAACAAACATTTATTTTCTATAGCTGTGAATGACGTAGCTTCTACTGTATCAGCAGGATAATAGATAGTTGCATATTCATAGCAATCAACATCTTGTAACAAGCAACTGCAAAAATGACCAACACGCGAATTACCAAGCTGTAGTGTTGGTACCCTTATATCTATTTGACTACCATCTGTTGACTTTACTTGTTTGCTGATTCTTATTGTGCTAATAAATGCATTCGCAGTTATCAGAATTCGAATGAGTGACAAAGTACGTTGAAATTCAGAAAGTGTTGAGTCAGTGAACTCATCAGCCAGATCTTTCATTTTAATGTTAAAGATATTTTCTGACTGAATACGGTCATTAACTAATACATTGGCATAAAACAATTGATAAGCATCTAACATAGTTTTATTTGCTATTGAACAGAATGCGAAGAGAGCTTTGAAGTAGTATGCTCCCATCAAATTATCAAATGAAGAATGCTTATAAATCGAAGAAGGTTGTACTTTCAATATGCTGTTGAGCCATTCTGGAGAAATCAACTTACTTGAACATAATTGATGAAACGTCGGTTCAATTTGAATAAAACTCGAGTATGGAACAGCAATTTGTGAGCATGGACAGTAAACATTATCGGAATACATTGTCCAGAGATGTCTATAGTCGTCTGGAGATGGACTATTTACGATGATAGTCTTTGTATGAGTATTGAGAATAAGATAGGAACTGTATATATAAATACTGACTGCAATACATAAGAGAAATATATAAGCAGTAATACGTTGTTTGCGTAATACATTTGGATTTTGAGAAGTTGTTTTGAATAGATTAAGATTTCGAATAAAGTTTTGAACAACAGGAAGTAAAAATCGTAAAGTGACACACTCAACTGAAACAAATAAATGAGTTTCACATTCAGNTGCATATAGTTTTTCTTTGTTATTAACTTACAATCATATCGTTATACTGATATTTTTATTCACTCAACTGAACGGAGTGTCATATAAAAAATCAAAGATTCGCGGGTATTGACTTGCACATGTTAAGTCATGTGTTCCTATACATGGATGAGAATTTGGACTAAGTATTTTAAATAACTTTCTTTCATAGTGATTACTTGACCAATAGTTATTAATTTATTCAAAATAGTGAAGTAAATGGTATTTAAAATTAACAATAATATTAATTTCAATTGATTTTGGTTTTAGTCTTTATTAAACATTTGAAAATCAATAGTTTTTGTATCGGTACTGTATCATGTTTGAAAAATGTGTCTGTTTGGGTATTAAGTATTAATAGCTTGATGATACCCGTGATGATTTGAAACGAGAACGTAATTTATATGCCATTCCAACTAAAAGTGGAACTATATATTTAAGTACTACTGAAAGTCCACTAAATACATTTAAGAACATTGTCAGTGCGTAAACAGGATTCAAATGCTGTTGCTTCACGTAACTGCAGGATATTGGTGCACACGCAGTGTAATATTGCTCATAGGACGTTTCATTTGACCAAAAGTCAATGAATACTCGATTGGCGATAGTTTCAATTGTATCATTAATGGCAAAATTTGAAACAGATGAGGAAAACTGCAATGGATAAATATCGCTTAAATATGAACCCGGATCTGCATTTAAATAATCAAGATTAGTGGCATTCATAAGATCTAGAATGCAAGAATTTGAGAAGAAACAAGAAAGAGACGACTGAAAAATTGATTCAAGCAAGAAGCAGCCTATGAAGATATCGCTAATAGTATAGAATTTGTGGAGACTATCATCGTAGAAACCTGCTGATTCCATGCATTTACTTGAAGTAGCACATGAACAAGTTCCGTTATTGTACGTTTTCGGGAGGACGATAGCGCGACCATTAGTAGCTGTTCCTTCAAGTTCCATTTCTACGTTAGTTCCCAAAATTGAAATTAAACCGTTACCTTGGGAAAAATCACGAAATACTTGTACTAGATGGATCCATTCACTCGATATTGATTGTTGTAACGATTTAAGTTCAGAGTCAGTATCTTTGAAAAATAGAATATTAGGCATGACTTCAACAGACAAAAATAAATGCGAGTAATATTGTTCAATAGAGTTCATCACTGTTAAGTGTGCTTGAGCACAAAGCACATTAAGGAAATTAAAAAATACTATACCCCATTGTCGAAAATCGACATTCTGAAACGACGCTGAATAGTGTGTGTTAAGGTCCTCGTAAGCTGCAAACCAACTCTGCAGTGTATTGGTTGCGCAAATGGGGTGAAATGTGACGTCGAGAGAAATAGTAAATTCTTTGTATGGTATGAATATATTTGAACAAGGGCATTGTAGAGCATCAGAGTGAGTAGTTTGTAGATTTGTATAAATTGATAGAGAAGGAGTTGGAACTATTATAGTCGATAATCGTTCAAAGAGTCCAACGTAGAAGAAGAAAAGAATCGTGAAACCAATCAAGAAAATGAGATAGAGGCGTGTCGACATAATTTCTTGTCTCTGAACAGAATTCACGTTAGAGTCTGTTTCGAAGAGATTGAATGTAACTATATATTCTCGAATTCGACTTATGTACGAAGCCGTTTGGTCTAAAATTGAAGATGGCTAAAAGTGAGTCTCATTGTATGAATATCTCCATAGAATTCTTAGAAGTCATTGAATAATTCATATGATATCTTTTATATTTCCATTAAATTTCAACTAAGTAAAATGATTAGTTTTACTGGCCGAGACAAATTTCATATTTTTACTCATGAAGAGGATATTGAAAGTAACTGATAATTAATGTAGGAATGCTGGAGTTTTTGAAGAATTTTATTATATTTGTCCACAACAATGTGATTCATTTAGAGTTATCGCCGCATATGAATCATTGTATACGTATTACTTTACTTTTTCTTCTATAATTTTAAGTTCTGGTATCCTACCATGCTTCACATGACATTTTTAGTGGGAACTTGATTGACATTCTAGCGATGTAAAATATTTCTAAGAATGCTTTTCGATACTCCGGAAGGACCTCAATTTTTACAGTGTGGAGTGTTACTCATTTAGCAAAATGTTCTCGCATCTTTGTCAGCATCATAACGAATTAAGAACTTTCCGTTTTTTTTTGTTATTTCTTCTACAAAATCAATAGCTTTGTCGAATTCCTGCTCTTTTCATAGAGTTTTTTCGGAAATCCAGAGAAACAACCGCGATTGCTTCGCAAAGACAGTAGTTCTTTTGAATGAAGTATTCTTTTTCAGACAGTGCTGTAACTACTATCGGATGTTTCTATAGAAACGGAGACTCTAAAGTCGGTGTATAAACTCCTTCTGTTTTTAATAAGAGTTTTGAAACAATCTTGAGGGATATAATATTACTAATGACTTGAAATGAATAACAAATTTATGTGCAATCTTCAAAAACTAAGTATATTCAGTTACGTACTATTACAGTGAGTGTTTTGAATTATGGATGTTGATTGATTAGTAGAAAGATCTTGTGATCGAAATCGTTTCCAAACAATAAATATTAAGTGAACCAGCATTGGCAAAATCAATCGAAGAAGTTTACTTAAAACTGCATACATAGCTGCAATACTGGTTATCAAAAATATCAAGTCGAATCGTTGTTGAATATCATAGGTACAAAACAAAGGAGAGCATTTATTGTAATATTGATTGTAAGAAACGTTGACTGTTTGATTTTCAAGTAGAAGAGCATTCATCAATACTTCCATTGTATCATTGATCATGAATTTACTTGAAATATTTATATCAAGGGGATTAATATCGATAAGATTGTCAACAGCCATGGTAACATAATAATTGTGCACGTCATCAAAACAAAAATCATCGAACCAACACTCCAATGATGCTGTGAGTACTGTTTCAGTCATCAAACATTTATTTTCTATAGCTCTGAATACCGTATAATCGAATGCATCAGCAGAATAATAGATAACTGCATATTCATAGCAATCAAAACTTTGTAATAAGCAAGAGCAAAAAACGCCAATACGCAAATAACCTATCAGTAATATTGGTACCACTATATCTATTCGACTATCGTTTGTTGACTCTAGTTCTCTGCTTATCCTCATTGTGCTAATAAATGCATTCGCATTTATCAGACTTCGAGTGATTGACAAAGTACGTTGAAATTCAGAACGTGTTGAGTCAGTGAACTTATCAACCAGATCTTTCATTTTAATGTTAAAGACATTTTCCGACTGAATACGGCCATTGACTAATACATTGGCATAAAACAATTGATAAGCATCTAACATAGTTTTATTTGCTATTGAACAAAATATGAAGAGAGCTTTGAAATAGTATGCTCCGATCAAATTATCAAAAGAAGATGGGCCATAAATCGGAGAAACAGGTCGTACTTTCAATATATGGTTAAACCATTCTGGAGAAATCAACATACTTGAACATAATTGATGAAATGTTGGCACAATTTGAATAAAACTCGAGTATGGAACAGCAATTTGGGAGCACGGACAGTTAACATTATCGGAATACATTGTCCAGAGATGTCTATAGTCGTCTGGAGATGGGCTATTTACGATGATAGTCTTTGTATGGGTATTGAGAATAAGATAGGAACTGTATATATAAATACTGACTACGATACATAAGAGAAATAGATAAGTTGTAATACGTTGTTTGTGTAATACATTTAGATTTTGAGAAGTTGTTTTGAATAGATTAAGATTTTGAATAAAGTTTCGAACAACAGTAAGTAAAAATCGTAAAGTGACACGCTTAACTGAAACAAATAAATGAGTTTCACATTCAGAAAAAATTCCAATTGAATCATTTGAAAATTTTGAAACAACCGTAGAGTACGAAGTGCTAATGTTTGAACAAGATTTAACAATAATGCAGTCTATATTAGAACTTATGAAGAAAAAACTCCATGAATGAATGAACTGATTATACACAAGTCAATTTTTATGTCACACCGTAGTGTAACTATAAAACATTTAATTATCAACTAGTAGACAATCATAATTTATAAAATTTATGAATGACAGAGGAATTGCTTTCCTGATTCTGTCAATTATTGACTTTGGTGTAGTTGATTGCATCATAAATAAACTTTTCATGTCACATGAACTTCTTATCATTGACGCTAATGTAATCTATCGATGATACTGAATTCATATAAAATAGTAACATAAACTAGAAGTAAAATATTGTCTTTTCTTCTTCATACATACATACATAAAGTCTCAAAATCTTAATTGTCTTCCACTATAGGAATTTTCAGTTTTGGTTACGCCATAAGTCATATGTAGTATCTGATCATTGAAATACATTCTACTAATAATTTATATCATAGTAAAGCAATCATTCAAGCAATATTATATGATAATTAAAAATTTATCAGCTGTTCTTTTTTCTACAACAGCTATGGAAGTGGCCTGTATTTTCAAAGAAAATAGCACTTATAACTTTGGAAAGTGGAAGTTTTATGCCTTCTCGTCTATGTATTATATACCTCCATCTCTACATTTAAACAAGCTGTGGAATATTTATATTGAATGATTGCGTTTCACAATATTCTAATCAATGTAGTTTTTGAGTTTTTCCTAAATAAAAAATATGTTCAAAGCACCGACAGTATTGAATAGCATACATTGACGTTCACAATCGTAATATGATCATTATAAGCAGAGCAAATTTATCACACTATTGAATTAAACAGAAAACATCATCATTAAGTATTCAAAAGTTACTTTTTTAATGTAGATAATAACTACTTCATAAAAGGTGCAGCGGTTGTAAGATACAAACTCAAATATTTTTATGAGCATACATTTCTTTTTGTATATGATCGTACAATTTCGTTCCTTTAATATATCGTTTGTTTGCGCAAGATTTTTTCATTTTTTTTCTCATTTCATTTCCTCACTGTCTTGTAGCTGGCTATACAGTTGGTCGATGACTTATATAAACCGTATAATAAAACAAGTAGCGTTCGTCGGTTCGACTCACTTGACCCTCGACTGTTTAGGACAGAAGTACATTCTTCACTTGGGTATCGAAATAATTGATCTACTAGCCTCATCAAATTAACTGACTGATATTTTCATTTTTTCAATCGTAAAAGTCGAAGAAACTGATCGGCATCTTCGAAAATTAGTTTAGGATAAACCTGGCTTTTCAGCAAGGGATTATAAAAGCTAGCAATTATTTATCCAAGTGCACTTTAACTGACATATATATGAACCAAAATAAATGTCATACTGTTACACACTAGTAACATGATGAAACATTCTTCTTTATTCACACTTCACCTAACCCCGAAATTGTTTTACTTCGGGAAATCACATGATATCATATTCAATTCTTTCAGAGACCACACGTCAAAAGAAGTTCACAACATTTATAGAAAAACACAGAACACGCTTTCAAAATTCTATTAGAACTTTGTGTACATTCTAGAACATTCGTCGATCATACTGTTTATAATTGAATTCTCTAAGAAAGTACAAGCTCAATGGAACCCTTAGGTGAAAATGAATTGTATTGTATTTGCTCTCTAATTCACATATCATACATGTGACAAACTCCTATTCAAAGCAGCGATAAGAATAGACAGATAATTTGAATATTTCCATATACGTTCAGATACCTGAATTGATACAAAGAAAAGTATATGCAAGAAGAAATACTCTTGTTCTACGTTCATGTCCACTATTGATACAGCACATATTAATTCTTTTAGTAATCAATTATTCAAGTATTGAATAGATGAAGTTCAGATATTCAACTATTCAATTACTCAACTATTTCTTTTTCGATTATTTGAACTTCGCACATTTAACTATTCAGTTATTCCACTTTCTTTTTGGAAACTCAATTCGCTGCATATTCCTCTAAAGGCGTGATCTTTATGCATGAAAACGAATATGTCTCTCTCGGAGAAGGTACGTTTTCCGCATTCTTATCAGGGGGTCATCATGTGTGAATTTCAAAGCATGTATTTCATCTCTAGAAGAATTCTTTTTTCTGAGAAAAATGAATAACTAAATAGTTGAGCTACGTTTTTAATAA